TGGCAGAAGGAAGCCTTCGAACTCCACTTCCAGACAAGGCCAGGGCCCGACCAAACCATCCTCGAGTTCCAAGCAGGCCTTTTAAAGGGACGCACGAGGACAGTGCACCAGACTCATTCCCAACCCTTTTTTGAATCTTTTGTCCCACTTCTACCATGCCTGGTCCCAAATAACCTCGGACCGCTTGGTCCTCCGCACGGTGAAAGCAGGATACTCTCTCCAGTTCTGCTCCTACCCTCCCTCCCACCCCCCTTCCCCGTCTCTCTTCAAGGACCTCTCTCATGAGCAACTCCTTATCCAAGAGGTGCAGGCCCTCTTCACCATGGGAGCGATGGAGGAGGTTCCTCAGGAGCTAAGGGGCAAGGGTTTCTACTCCTGATACTTCCTAATCCCCAAGGCCAAAGGGGGCCTCAGACCCATCCTAGACCTGTGTGGGCTCAACAAATTCATGGTAAAGTTGAAGTTCCGCATGGTCTCCCTGGGCACTATTATCTCCTCCCTGGATCCAGGAGATTGGTTTGCCGCCCTCAAGATGAAGGACGCGTACTTCCACATAGCAATCCATCCAGCACACAGGCACTTCCTGCGCTTCGTGATCAAACATGAACATTATCAATTTGCTGCCCTACCATTCAGCCTCTCAACAACCCCACGAGTGTTCACCAAGTGCATGTCGGTTGTGGCTGCTTTCCTCCATCGCCCGCAGGTGCAGGTGTACCCCTACCTCGATGACTGGCTGCTCAGGGGCCACACCAGGGCACAGGTGCAGTCCCAAATCCATTTGGTCAGGTGCATGTTCGAGTGACTGGGTCTCCTCCTCAACTTGGGGAAGTTGACCCTGGAACCAACCCAGAGAATAGAATGAATTGGGGCAGTGTTAGACTCGGTTCAGGAGTGGACCCTTCTACCGGAGTCCCGATTCTGAGCCATCACGGACATAATTAAAAGCCTCCAGCAATTCCCAACCTCAACAGCAAGGGGGTGCCTGAGTCTCCTCGGTCACATGGCTTCTTCCACTTTATATGACCCGGCACACCAGGCTGCGGCTCAGACCGTTGCAGGCATGGCTCGCCTCAGTCTGCAGCTCGGGGAGCAACAGCTTGAATTCAGTGGTCAGGGTGCCAGGGCAAGTCCTCACATCCCTTCGCTGGTGGCTTGACCCCCAAGCGGTGTGCGAAGGAGTCCCCTTCCACAACCCTCAACTTTCCTTGTCCCTGGTTACAGATGCGTCAGCTCTGGGATAGGGCAGGGGGCGCATCTGGGGGATCTCCAGACACAGGGCCTGTGGTCATAGGATGAGCTCTCCCTACATATCAATGTCAAGGAACTGAGGGCGGTGCACCTCGCTTGCCAGGCCTTCCAGCCCCGACTGTAAGGCCAGTGCGTAGCAGTTCTAACGGACAACACCACCACCATTTTTTACATCAACAAGCAAGGGGAAGCCCGTTCCTCTCCCCTATGCCAGGAGGCCCTTCAGCTGTGGGAGTTCTGCACAGCCCACTCCATTCACCTGGAAGCATCCTCTCTACTAGGAGTTCAGAACATGCTGGCGGACGGCCTCAGCAGGTCCTTCTGCACTCACAAGTGGTCCATCCGGCCGGATGTCATACACCTTGTCTTCCAAAGATGAGGGATTCCCGGGTCGACCTGTTTGCCACTCAACACAACAGGAAGTGCCCAACGTTCTGCTTCTTCCAGGGTTGCAGCCCAGGCTCCCTCATGGATGCATTTCTGCTACCCTGGAGAGGTCGCCTGCTCTATGCCTTTCCCCCGTTCCCTCTTGTGCACAAGATCCTGCTCAAGGTCTGCAGGGAGGGGGCAAAGGTAATTCTGATAGCTCCAGCGTGGCCTCGCCAGCACTGGTACACCACGCTACTGGAGCTGTCGGTGAATGCACTGGTCATGTTACCTCTCCTCCCCGACTTACTCACTCAGGAATACGGTCGCCTCTGTCACCCTGACCTACGGTCCCTCCACCTCACGGCTTGGAAGCTTCATGGCTGAACCCCATGGAACTTCTGTGCTCAGAACAAGTAAGGGAAGTCCTCCTCAGCAGCAGGAAGCACTCCACGAGAGCCATGTATCTGACAAACTGGAAAAGATTCTTGTGTTGGTGTGACCAGGGTCGCACCTGCCCCCCTCCAGGCGCCAGTACCCCTCATCTTAGAGTACCTCCTACACCTGAAACAGCAAGGCCTGTCGGCGTCCTCCATAAGGGTACACCTCGCTGCTATCTCAGCCTACCACCCAGGAGCATCTGGTCGATCCATCTTCGCCAACCCTGGTCGCTTCCTCAAAGGTTTGGACCACCTACATCCCCAGATCAGGCAGTCTGTCCCTGCATGGGACCTTAACCTGGTCCTTTCCAGGCTCATGAGGCCCCCATTCGAACCACTGGTGGTGTGCTTCTTCCTGTATCTGTCTTGGAAGGTAGCTTTCCTGGTCGCCATTACATCTGCGAGGAGGGTGTCTGAGCTAGTGGCCCTCACCTCTGAACCGCCTTACACAGTTTTCCACAAGGATGAAGTGCAACTCAGGCCACACCTGGCCTTTCTCCCCAAGGTGGTGTCGCACTTCCACACCAGCCAGCACATTTTCCTGCCTGTCTTTTACCCGAAGCCTTATACCAGTACCCAGGAGCAGCAGCTACACCCCCTCAATGTTCGAAGAGCATTAGCTTTCTACATCAAGCACACTAAGCTGTTCAGAAAAGTGAACCAGCTGTTCATAGCGGTGGCAGACTGGATGAAAGGGCTCCCAGTCTCATCTCAAAGAATAGCCTCCTGGAACAGGTCCTGCATGCGCACGTGCTATGAACTGGCCAGAGTGCCGATCCTGGTTCTCACGGCATACTCGACTAGGGCCCAGGCCTCGTCAGCTGCATTCCTGGCCCAGGTCCCCATCCAAGAAATCTGCAGGGCAGCGACTTGGTCCTTGGTGCATACCTTCACCTCTCACTATGCCATCGTCCGGCACACCAGAGACGACGCAGCTTTCGGTAGAGTGGTGCTACAATCAGCATTTCCTTAACTCCAGCCCCACCGCCTGGGTAAGGCTTGGGAGTCACCTAATTGGAATCGATATGAGCAATCACTCGAAGAAGAAAAAACGGTTACTCACCTCTCGTAACTGTTGTTCTTCAAGATGTGTTGTTCATGTCCATTCCAAACCCGCCGGCCTTCCCCTCTGTTGGAGCAGCCAGCAAGAAGGAACTGAGGAGGCGCCGGGTCAGTGGGGTCATCATATATTGAGCGCCATGAAGGTGCCACTCCAGAGGGTTCCACAGCTGACCCAACAGGTGCTGCTAGGGGGAAAACTTTCCAACGACTGTGCATGCGGCATGCACATACCTAATTGGAATGGATATGAGCAACACATCTTGAAGAACAACAGTTACGAGAGGTGAGTATCCGTTTTTTCCTCCTGTGGCTGCATCTCTTTACACCAGCCTCAATCTGCACAGCACCAATCCCAAAGCAGGGTTGGCCTCCGCAGCCTAATAGTGTGTGAAAATGTGTCACCTCCCAAACTGCAGTTGTGCAACGAGGGATTGTTTTTTCCACTGCTACCCAGGACTCCGCAGAAAAACAGCAGAAAGAGCTTCAGCCCCTGAAGACAAGTGACCTCGGGGGTCCTGACAGAGAACAAGGCCCCATTGTGCTAGGTGTTGTACCTATACACCATCTCATACCCAGGAGCGGGGCCAGGGTTTTTGCTGCATTAGGCGGCAGCGCTCCTCCTCAAAGCATTCGGCAGCGGGGGTCCTTCCGCTCCGCGTCTTCGGGGCGTTTCGGCGGCGGGTCCCAGGGCGAGTGAAGGACCCGCCACCGAAGCGCCCCAAAGACACAGAGCGGAAGGACCCCCGCCACTGAATTGCCGCCAAGGACGGCAAAATGCTGCCCCCCAAATCCTGCCATCCTAGACGACCACCTAGGGTCACCTAGTGGAAGCGCCGGCCCTGCTTGTACCCACTTCTGTTTACGGCCTTCTGCTAGGCTTGGGCTGCCCAGCAGCGACCACCTGTTGACAAAATGAGCCTGGCGACAGGCTGGGCTGCATCTCATTCTCCCGTGCTGCATGATCTGTGCAGTTTGTAGCATGGCAAAATGACTATTGCTATGCTACATGGAACAGTGAAATACCATTGTGTATGCTGCACAACTCAATGGAGCCACACTGCTTTGCACTAGCCGGGCGCTGGCCCTGTATCTTTAACCTAGGGTGACCAAACAGCAAATGTGAAAAATCGGGACAGGGATGGGGGGGTAATAGGAGCCTATATAAGAAAAAGACCCAAAAATTGGGACTGTCCCTATAAAATCGGGACATCTGGTCTCCCTATTTTAACCTTAATTACATTTTGAATGTCCCTATAAGCCTATATTCACCAGGCCCGACGTGTGATGAAACATTCACCGCTTGGAGCATAGATGCTATCTTTACCAAGAGGCTGGCCTGGTGAATGTTGGGTTCCAGTATTGGCAGGTGCCGGGGGCAATTTTACAGATAGAAAATATCTGCTCCAAAAAATAGTAGGCCAGCATTTTTCAGACCTAGGCACCCAGCTCATTTTCTGTGGGCCTAGCTCTCGTAGCAATCATACCATTTATTTAGGTGCCTACCTATGGATTTTGGGGCCTAGCTTTAGGCACATGACATTGAAAATGTTGGCTGTAAATCATAGGCCTACATGTCACTATTCTAAGGAGACTGGTTCTTGTAGTTGCTTCCTGTAAGAGTAGAGCACAAAGGTACAAGCATCACACTGTTATTAACTCTGAAATGCAACTGCTCTGCTCAGCTGGTGCCTGGATTTGAACTCTCACTAGAGATAAGAATTCCTTAAAGTCTCTTTCCCTCCCCCCCGCCCCACCCCATTGACAGCCATGGGCCAGACCGTCTGGTGGTGTAACCTGGTGCAGCAGTGGAACCACACTGATTTACACCAGTTGGGGATCTGGCCCCAAAGTCTTACAGTCCATCTGTTGGGTATGTCATAGATAGTCTGTCGTCAGCAGCAGAGTGAGCAGGAGGCTGCAGCATTGCTGCAGAACGTGCAGGATGAGAACAGCATTCTCCAGGAGAGACTGATGACACTGCAGCGAGCTGTAGCCCACCTAGAAGGGGAGAACAAGGAACTGGAGCGATCGGCCTTTGAGCTGAAGCAGGACAATTCTGCCCTGAAGAAGACCCTCAGCAAGGTACTGTAGAGTTGTGAAGACACCAACGGATGTTAAATTGGACACATGCAATGACGCACAAGTACGCAAACAGGCATAACCTATCTCAGGCCTGGAGCTGTGTATTCCATCTGCAGACACTAGTTCACGGCCTGCGTAATACTAGCAATGTCCAGGGTTGGATCCTCAGCAGAAAAATCATTGAGACCCTCAAAGAGGTCAGTGGAGCTCTGCTCATTGACCTCAGCTGGGGATCTGGCCCATTCACAGGTATCTATGAACAGAAATACAAGCAGCAAAGTCAGTGAAGATCTGTAGGAGGCAGGTGGGTCAAAAGCTCCTCCCCTCCCCCTGCTGCTGCTCCCCACCTTCCTCCTCCCCCATAGTACAACACTGTTCAGTTCTTCTCTCGTCCCCCATCTGTCGCTGCCAGCTACCATGCACCAGACCCTCCCAAAGTACCTTCCACTCGGACCTGAAGTCCTGGCTCTCTTCTCCATCCCTGACCTTTGCCCTCAGTAACTCCAACTTCCACTCTGGTGTCCCCTCCCACTCGCTATCCCCCCACCTCCTCAACCCCTTGCTCAGCTAAAGGGCCACTTGCTCCACCTTGCTCACCCTGTAGTATTGTTCCGTCTCTGACCTCGCACCTTCCATGGCCCCTCTCTTCGACCACTGCCTCATTGCTCTGGTGCCCCCAGCACCCACCCCTTTGCCCAACATTGTTATGAGCTGCATTCCATCCATGTCCAGGACCTCTTTTCTGCTCTCAGTCCCCTGCTCCAGACCCCCTTCCTTTTTCTGACTCACTCGTTGATTCCCTCCCCTCCAGTCTGGACTCCTGGGCCCCTCTCTCCATCTGCAAAGTCGCTTCCTCCAGCCCCAAACCCTGGCTCTCCCCATCATCTGCATCATTCGCTCCTGTCCCCTGGGGATATTCCTCATCGTGTGTCTACACAGCACACGGGGCCCTGAGCTTGGCCAGGACCTCTGAGCACTACTGGAGTATAAATAATAAGTAAAGCAAGTGATGAGAACCTGCCAGTGGTGCATTTACCGGCATATACATCCAGAGAGCAGGCTTGATTCTGCATTCTCCTGCCCTTTGCATCATCATGTCCACCAGTGCAAAGGGAGGGCAAAATGCAACCTTGCTGATCTGCAAAGAGTCTAAGTGAGAATACAAGGTGGAGTGCAAGGGGAAAGGGTTATCTTCTTCATTCTCATTCGTGTGCAGACGTACATGTTCACCAACATACAGACATGGGAGCAGATCCCCAGCTGGTGTAAATCAGCCTGGCTTTGTTAGTCAAGAGAGCTGTGTCAATTTACCCCACTGATCATGTACATAGACACACTTGCCTTGGATCATGTCATGTCTGTGTGTGCACACAGTCATGTCTCTAGATAGACAGATAGATAGAGATATTACAGACATACACACACATTTGCCTCTGACAATGTATATTCATGCATATAGATCCCGCTCAGGAAAGCATCTCAATTCAGCAAAGCACTGCTTAACATTAAGCATGTGCTCAAATTCCACTAAAGTCAAGCACATGCTTAAGCACTTTCCTGAACCAGAGCCATAGTGTGGTATAGATGTGAGCTTTCCCTTCCACCTCTGCCAATTGAAGTCAGTGGAGACAGACTTCTGTGAGAGAGAGGAGAGTCAGGCTCTGTGCATTCCCACAGTCACATAACATGGAATAGACATAACCATGCGAACACAAAAGCCCAAGCAGAATCCTGTGAGTGGGAGAGAGAGAGCGCTGGCTGTGTGTTCCAGTAACCTTTGTTTTCTTGGCCCCCATCCAGTCACTTCCCACCACATGCATTTATGTACATGATTATTGCTCTCGCATTCTTTGAATGTAGTCCAGATAATGAGTTCAAAACTCTTCATTCAAATGTACTCTCCTCCAAAACTCCCACAAACACAAATGCACAAGCACACACGCATGCACACACATACATGTGCATGCCTCTTGGCTACCTGATTTCTTCTCCCACTTAGAGAGGGAGCTAATGTTCAGCTCTGAGGCGCTGATTCCAGTTCGAAGGAATAATTTGTGTCACGCATGTGTTAGGTATCAGCAGGGGCACTCTGGGATTGGCCTAATTAGCTCTAGTGATGGGGGAAGCAAAATCCAAACCATGTGCTAAAGCCGTCTTCTAAATTTAATACAAGTAGTTTCAGATTGACTTTTGACCCCTCTACCCAAAAAGATTGGTGTCTAAAAGTTTTTGTCTCTTTAATCAGCTGCTATTCCTTTCCCCTGCTGCCCCAAACACACACACACATTCTTTCATTCAGAACTCTCTTTTTTGATGGTTTCATAGTTTTTATTGTTTCATTTCCAACCAGTTTGATGGTTTCTGAACTTGACCACGGCACGTAGAGCTGGGTGCAGAAGCAATCCCATGGGAACTGACCCAGAGTAAAATATCATGAACTGAATATCCTCGGAGACTGAGCTACCCACTGCAGAGAGCATGGAGGAGTATGGGATATGTTTGCCCCCTTAGCATAGTCTGCACTGAGTGCAGGATTGGGAGCCAGGATCTCCTTAGTGCTGTTCCTGCCTCTGCCACTGACTTGCTAGGTGACTGTGGGGGAGTGACATCAGCTCCTTGTGTTGTGTCTCAATTTGCCTGTCTGAAAGATGGAGGTAATCACAGTCCTTACCTGTGTGCTGTGAGCATCAGTTGTGCTGTGAGACTTCATCTCATGGCTCTTTCCATAAGAGGATGGAAGGGCCAAATTTTCCCTTTCATCCAGTGCTGCACAGCATGCTTGTCTGCTGATTGGCCGTCTCCTCCACCCCAGAAATGGCTACATGCCATTGATATTCATATCCGAATAGCCCAGTTCCTTAGCTGCGGATGAGATTCACATGGCATAACTCGAGTGGACTGCATCACCTTTACACACCCACTGACCCTGGGCTGGCTGTGCATTGGGATGGTCCCCAGTATAAGTCCCGTGAGGGCTGCTCTAACTTGCACCAGCTGCGAATAGTCTGAAGGGGCCTAGGCAATAGCTGTGGATCACTGGGGTGCAAGGATGCCCTGGCACCATCTCAAGTGCTAGCCACAGGGAGGTGGGCTGGCATAGGAGCCATTCTGTCAACTCTGCACCACCTGAGGATGCCCTCCCTGGGGTGATCCTCCAGCAGGCCAGCTGTTTGCAGTGCTCCACCAGGAGAAGCTGGGCCAGGGAGTGTGAAGCACTGGACTCTGACTGGGAGCCTTGGAGAAGGAAGGCACGATGCCTTGCAAAGGGAAACACCTTCCCTCACAGGAGAAGGAAGGACGGGCAGGGCATGGGGTGGGGAAACCTGCCATTGTCAAGTGATTGGGATGAGCCGCTGCAGAGCAAACACAGCCTGGGTCCTGCAGCTACTCTCCTCTCAGACACACCAGGGCAGCCCACAGAGACATCCAGCCTGATCCTCAGTGGGTGTCAATTTTCACGGACTTCAGTGAAGCTATGCTGATTGACACCCGTTGGGGATCTGTCTCATTGTCATCAGCAGAGCTACACCCATTTATGCTAGCTAGGAATCTGGCCCATTGACCCCAGTGGAGCTACACCCATTTACATCAGCTGGGGATCCGGCACCGCAGGTCTCAGAATGCAACACTCTGCCTTGATCTGCACAGTCAAGGTATGAAAGGTGAGGGTGGCTGCAAAGGGCTCCTGGGCAGAGTCTGGGTGCCGCTGATATATTGACAGCTCCAAACAAAAGGGATTAGAGGCCGTTCAAAACTATTCCAGCCTGGGCTTCTGTGAACTACACTGGCTAACAGCAGCCAGTAGGGGGCACTGTGCTGTCCAGGGATCAGCAGGAGCCATGCCCTTCATCCCCAGCCATGCCCCTCATGCAAGGAGGTGGCTTAGTGGTGCTACAGCAGCCCCTACATCACCCCAGGACCCCTAAGAATGTTTCCCCAAGTGTTGCAAAGACCCTTCAGCAGACCAAAAACCTGGCCATTAGTCTGACTCCACCCCATCTAACTCAGCGACCAGTGATTTTCCAGCAGCAGGTTCATGCTCTTGTTGGTAAGGCAAAGTAGGGAAGCCCAGGACTGAGAGATCGTGGTGCTGAACATCCATGTCCCTCCAGAGAAGCCGTCTCCCCTTTTCCAGCATCAAGAACCCTCAAGGAATCCAGGAGGGCCTCACAAATTGGGCATTGGCTAAACTAACCCCCAGGGCAGCCTTGCTTCCTGCTCCATTCTGCTTGGACAATACAGCCAGCTTGGCTCCATGGGTTCCCCTGTGGGTGTCCCCATGAAGACAGAGCTTAAAGCTGCTCTCCCTGGCAGAACAGATTGTCCTGCTCTGGAAGTGAATGTTTCCTTGGCATTGCTGCCCTTGCCCCTGTGGCCCTGTGATTCCAGGGTCTGTTCAAATAAACTGGATCTTAACAGAAGCTGTGAGCTGCCTGGTAGAATGATGCAACTGACCCCACAGATGCCACAGGAAGCAGTGGGTGCTCCTGTTCAGATGTTGGTGACAGCCTGAAAGGGGTGACTACCCTGATGTTAGCCTCTCCATCGGGGGACATACATAGCTTTGTTTAATGTGGCAGCCAGTGCCTCGTTTGGAGCACCGTACAAATCAACAAGCTGTAGCATTAACACTGTGTAAGGGAAGCATGTGAGCCAATGTTCAATGCACAGTTGGAATCATAAAAATGTATTCAATTGTGCTTGATTTGCATGTTTCGTCACCCCAAAAGTGTATGCAGAGTTGGTAACTACATGTGCAAAATAGATGTTACTACCCCTCCGATGCATGCAGTTGTGCTAAGTGCACACACATCCTATATGCACAAGGGAGCATGTGTTTTGCTTGCAACTGCATGGATAACATGAGTAAAAATCAGGCCTCAGATCTTTTCTGATCTGGGGCTTTATTAGGAGGGGGGAAATTCTCTCTGATCTGCTATACCTGTCCAAACATTTGGTTGGGAGGAACAATAACCACTGCTTTAGACAATCTCAAAGAA